AATAAATCAAGGGCCCATCTTGTTCCTCACCGCCGTCTGCGACAAAAAACACTATGAATCGACTACGTACTCTTGGGCCTCAGACTCGAATATGGCTATGCGCTCATGATTGATGACCGTCACCGACTACAACAATAATCTATCTCTCTCGCTGGGACGCTTAATCTCCTGTTTCATTTCCTGTCATTAATTATCTACCTGGTGGTCTGTTATTGAGCATGGAGTCTCGTTTGTGATGTTTATTTTATCTATATTTTCTTTATACTTGGGGTTTGATATCCCTAAATACTAAGCTAGGCCCAATTGGAGTTTCTTTAATCTCGCTGGCCTTATCGCCTGTATGGGCCTTGACTGGTTCATCGAATTGTAATGCCGTATCCTCTTTTTGTTGAATGATACATACTCTGTACTTAGTCATTCACTAGAGAAATATGTCTTGAGTATGCATCTATCTTCCTCGTGGTTCATTTACCTTATTCCATCCATCGATTACAACCTTTTCGAAGTGAACATTGTAACAAGGTTCAACCCGAACACATGGAAGCAAAGAGTACTACTAAGCACTTAGGGAAATACTCTCTCGTTATTAATAATATCCTTACGTGTTTGCATGTGCTTCGAGAATGATTAAGCACGTTACTATTCCTAGTATACGCGTGGTATCAAAGCTCGTCAGAGTATTTGTGATGATAGCCCCAGGCTTGCAAAGAGGTTCCTGTTTCAGTACTCAGTACCCACGAGGATAGGCGTCTATGCTAACCCTTTTAGAGAATGCTGTCTATAAAACCTGGGACAGCGTACACAGAGACCAGCAATGCGATCTCAATGCTTCATGCATAGAACTTGTTCATCTGGTACCCAAAAATAATACCTCCCGAGTGTCCATTTCTCAGCCATGCATAATATTTTAATAAAAGGTCATAATTTCATGCAGATGGTGTGATATGTTGTTGATGGGGTTGCAAGGAACTGTCCTATCAGGATGCATGACCGGGATGACTTTCTAGGATATTGGGATAATAAATCCAGCGCTTAGACTTCGCCAACATAACAAAAGCCATGTATATTCACAATACATGATATTTGGAGGAATAAATTGGCTGTTAAGCTCAGTGGCGTATCTTCTATGGCCTATAGCTTGTACTCTCAAATTGATTGCCAGATGATCCTAATATGAGGGCCGGGGACGGTGATTGAAATAACGATGAGAATAATAATAATCCAAATAAAGCGGGAAAGAACCAGCGTAGCTCGTTAAGGAGGCACCAAGATGCCGTAGTTGCAAACTCCGTTGGATCCGGGGATGTTATATACACGCACGTTCTGTCACGGCCTTGTTGGCGCCGTCTCCATCGGGATCAGGATCCTCGTCACCTTGATATATGCAGTCCTCCGCTGCGCGCGTTGCGATTCGTCCATCGTCGGTGTCAGAAGGCTTGGCGGCGCTAAGTGAGCCGCATCCAGAAGTTGTCTATTTATAGAACACGTAATTTAGAATTTCCCATAACCACGGCTGGGAGGGGAGGGAGCAGCCTAAAAATAACCGCAACAACATGATAGAGGACAAAAAAACTGAGCGGATGGGACCAGAGGCAACAACATCTGTCCGCATAGTATTTGTTTTTTTGCTATCCGCTCCTTGAGCTAACTAGCTAACTGTCGTCCCTTAAAATTAAATATCAGGAGCTCCTGACTGGGCCATGGCTCGCGAGTTCACCCCGGACAGCGAGTTTGCTGCCCTGGAGACACCGCGCGTCCCCAATAAGCTTCAATCCCTCACTGCATTGGGGCGCTTCGAGTTCGAAGCTGGGAAGGGCAACGAAGGCACCAAGATCTTGATGGTGGAATGGGAGGACGACGACCTTTCTAGATCGAGTACAGGCTCATGGCAGGTTTCGTGGGATGGGAAGCAAACCGTTCTACCAGCCCATGACCAGGCAACCGATCAGATCCGCCGTTGCTACTTCATGCTGCCGCCGCATGCCACCATCCCACCAACGGTCACACTCACCTATGAGCCGCCACCGAGCTCGGCCTCAACAGTGAAGAAAAGCGAGTCCATCCAGATCCATCCATTGCCGGCCATTTACCCTCCAGAGCTTGGAGCTACAGCGCGAACGGCGGGGAAAAAAGGGGTGTTGCATACGATATGGGCTAAAAAACGTCTGCAGGTGTTGGAGAAGGAGATTAAAGAGGAGTCTCAGTATAACGCCGAAGGGATCGCATTGCATATGGCAATAGAGGAGAAAGAGTGGATAGAAGCCAACTTTGGGGTTGTTGTGAAGGGCTTGCCTCCACTAGTGACGACAAATGTTTTATCTAATTTGAATGCGCCGCTCAGTCCCACGACTCCTGTGTCGCCAACGGGCGGGAATCGACTGGCCGAGAAGCTAAAGGGACTGCGACTGGGGACCAGTGAGAAAGATCTAACCCGCAAACCCATGGGTAAGTGCATAAGACGCTTATCACCACCCCATTTCCACTCTCTCAATAAGCGCGAATCCAACGCCTATGTTTCAATAATTGGGCTGATATTCTAATGTAATGCAGGCAACTCGGGTTCTGATCCACAATTGCATCCTCTCTCCCCCGATGAGCCTGACATGGCAATATCCTCTTTCAGCTCATTCCACACTGGCAATACCCCCGTCAATGCGTCTACTCCGTCCCTGCAAACACTGCAACAGTCCCAGCCATCAAATCTATCAAGCCAGCCACAGACCCACCCGATAGGCAGGCAACCGGTAGCCCATGCTCCTCCAGATTTCATTCGTCGGCAGCAAGAGCAGGATTCTGGGTTTGCCTCCTTGAATATGCAGCCTATTGGAGACAATGGCGTATTGAACAACGAGGTCAATACCGCCAGCGCTGCGGATGTTCAGGACGGGTTGTTTGCTAAGGCGCTTAGCCCTCGGTCCCCTGATATCCCCAAAAGCCCTTTCTCGTTCTCTACGGAGGAGACACTGCCCTACGCTAAGCAGCTGAACGCTTGAAAATCCTTACAGTGTAATGTGTCTTGTATGCTCTTTCCATCTCACTTATCCGTATTTGCTTGCACAATTTCCTGGCCATTCTGCCTATCTCCTTTAAATATATACACATATATACATACCTACCATTTGGAAGGCAAAACGATACTACAATTATGATACAAGGAAGCTACGTTATTATTACTATCGAAGATCTCTGGCTCATGATAGTTTTTTTGTGTTATTCATAAGATATCATGACGGTCTTCACAATATTTGCAGTAGTTCTACTTCATGTATTTTCTTATATAAGCTTAGAAGACATCAAGAGAGAGAGAGGATGTAAATTATTGTTTTTTCTTGTTAGCAGCAGAGCTGCTACTTTGCCTCGCAGCTTTGGGGGATGTGTCCTTGTCAGTCCTGTCTTTCTCTGCGCTTTCTTCCTCTTTCTTTCTGATCAGTTCTGCTTCTTGTTGGGATTTCCTATCAGCATACCATTGGCCTGCCTGGAGCACCAAAACACCAATCAAAACCAATGCTAAAATGGTGTTACTTGCTGCGAGGACTTTCATGCTATCCTCACGGCCAAGTACTTGCTGGACGCTACCAACATCATCTTCACTCTCACCTGAAGCTGCTGCGGCCGCGGCGGCAGCGGCAGCATCCGCAGCAGCTGACGCTCCGTAGTCACCCTCTGTAACAATACGGAGTCCCTTGACTATGTTGGCAATGTAGACAGTAATACCGCACATGTAAAGAACCAAACTGGCGCCATCAAAGAGCATGTTGGATTCAGTTGGTTTGTAAAGCTTCATCATCAAACCGAGAAGTCCAACTGCAATGACAATATGGAGAATGCGTGGAATCAATGGCGGAGAGCTATGGAGGAAGCGCAAGTGAGCCTCGAGATAGTCGTAGTGGGATGGTGGGGTTGGCGCGGTGGACCATAACAGCGGATAGTCGTAAGGGAAGAGGGAGAAGATTATCCCAAGAAAAAAACAGGTTGCTATATAGATAGACAAGTTGATCAGTGCAATCCTTTCTTTGGATGGCTGGGCTGAGTTTATGGCCGAAACTTACGGCAGACGATAAGGAACGCGGCGAAGGAACCGCTGAGAGCCATGGTCGCGGAGAATGGTTCTTAATCAAAAAATATGCCGATTGATAAGAAGATACACACTACTGGCGAATAATCTTCGACGGTTGATTCAATCTGTCTAGTGAAGCCATCTCAAATTAGCTGCTGTAGTCTTTATTTGCGCAAATGTCACTGATTAACTACATCCAGAGTGAATGAATGGGTGAACGCGATCGCATATCAAAAGAGCCACTTCTTACCACAGGAGAACGGGTTCAGTGCTTACCCTGGAGCCCGGATCGCAAATCGACGTGCCTTCAAGTGTTCGAGAAGAAGAAAAAACGAAAAATCCTTCCGGAAAACACGAAGGCGATGTTGTTCTCTTCTTCTCCTTAGCCTTCTCTCTTAAAAGGCTTGGAATCGGGCTGCTTTTACCCCAGGATTATGTAATTAACTAAAGAAAAAATGCGACCTCCCATTGGCAGGGAAATGCGGAAGATCTGGCCAATGGCGGAGCTACGGGTGAATAATTGTCCGTCTTTATTTTCAAATTCCGAAACAGGTAATGCTGATCTCCCGTCTTCAATTCTCGAGGTTTCGGGGGTGGTTTATATAGTGATTCATGGGGAGCCACAAATGCATTTGATGGGCATTAATAGTCCAATTTTGCTATACATGACATGGAGATTGAATCTCAAGGCTAGACGGCGATTGTATGCCGCACTTGTACACGACGGAATTCGTGAATTGCATCTTCAGTTTTCGGAGGCCATATTGGCTCCGGCCGTGGAGGGTATATGTCAAAAGGCTTGGAAGATGTGCTCCAGGCCGGCTTTTCCAGATCCACTACGCGCTCATACCACAGCCTACAATTGGGTCCCTGGCTGTGATGAGAATATAAAGTCAGACCCCATCAAATAGAGGGAAGAGATCAAACGGATGAATTGTTATCCTTACCATTGGATTTCGTATCCTGTTGCGCTCTCTTTGCTTTCCAGCTGGCAACCCGGACACCTCAACCCGGATGGAGGTGGCATCCAAAACACCATACTCATGGTCACGCTCCTACCAGGTAAAAAGACCGACTCCCATGGTGCTTTGAAATCTAGCTGGCGCTTTGAGTTGGATTCCTTCATAACATATTCCATATTCTTTACTTTCTTCCATCCGGGAACATGGCGAAATCGAGCTTCCAATACCGCTTGCAAAGCCTCGAAGGAGTTGATGAACTCGACGTGGAAAGGCGTCACTCTCCCATGTGCATCTTCCAGCTCCACGGGGCGTTGTCGTTCTATTTGTGGCGGCAAAGCAGGCGCTTGATAGTCAACATGTGGCTGGGACTGGGACTTTTGTAAATCAAGTGCCATCCTATACACCTTCATGTTCATGTCGAAGGCTTCCATCATGACAGATCGCACATCCCGTATGTTTGGTTGTGTGTTTGAAACTTCCAAAATATTCAGTATTCTGCTGAGCGTGTCTGCTTGTGTCCCGAGCATGTTGTGAGTCTGGCCTATACGATTCTGCGTTTCTTTCATAAGCAAGGCTGACTGTTCCAATGTAGCCTGGCTATAATCCTTAATAGTGCTTGTTTGTAGAGCCGCTGTGGATCTACAGCCTTACGTTAACACTGAAAAAGGAAATAGCACCCAATTATACTGGATACACTCACGATTGCATCGCTATTAAGAGGGTATTTATGGTCGTCGTGTGACCTAGTATCTGGGTCCGCAAGCTATCGACCTCGGATTTCATAAACAATGCCCACTCAACTTTGTGAAAACGGGTCTTGAACTTAGAGGCCGTGTGTTCCTTTCCAAGAGATGCCTTGAATTTGGCATGTTGTAAAAGGAATGTTTCAATGGTTTGTTGACACTGGTCAGCAGCTTCTTGTAGAGCTAGCTTTTGGTATTTTTGTGATTCATCGAACTCCAGACAGCGTATCTCTTCTAACCCGCATAATAGGCCATTCAGATCTGCCACAAACCGCTGGTATGTCGAACTTGCCCCCGTGCCTTCACGGAACGCTAGATATACTGATTTAGCTACCTTGGTACAAGCAATAAAGTCACCGACTGAGAAGCCAAAGCCCGCCGCCATGGTGGACAAAAAACATCCTTGGCGCTCAAAGATATTCACAACATCATTGCAATGATAGGGAGCTCTGGACAACTTAAATAAGAGCTCTGACTTAAACTGTCAAACCCCGCTGCAGTAGCGGCCAGCCGACTCCCTTTGCTTGCGTTTCCCGATTGGCTGGACTAACATCAGCTTCCTTGCACTTGCATGAAGGATCACAACATCACACCTGTGAGAGAGGGGCACAAGAAAAGGTTCAGCACAGCCTGAGGATCAGTTAGCCAAAAACCTTACTCTTTTACGGGGTTAACTAATAATATGATCGATCAGCAATCCGATCTACCTGAGCTCGCCCAAGCTCCAACATATCACGAGCTGACTGATTCTCTCTGGAACTTTGTATATATGTGTGTATGCTTTTCGCTATCCAAGCAAGCACTTGAATATTGCCAGGCCCGTATCTCCCGAGTAAGCTTCGTGCTTTCAGTTGACATGGGGAGCTACTTCAAAGCCGAACCGGTTTTTTACGGTATCTGATTCAGCTCTGCTCGGTTTGACAGCATACCGTGGCCTATTAACTACCCCTGCAGGCGCAAAGCCCCAGCCACAAAAGGAACGTTTCTAGGCCTGCTATTCTATGATCCTCCTACCCCCTCCTCCCTTCCCGGGCGGAACGTATGAATTGCAACTACATCTCCGATGCACGGTAGTGATTATCCTCTCAATCTGCTATGGACCACTACTGTTAGACTATTCATAACTTTAGGAGACTGTGACCGTATATCAAGCACAGAGAACTGGCAATATGGTACAAATCCAAGAGTTACAAATACCAACCCCAACCTTTGGAGGCGTTTATTCAGATAGTTAGTCGGTGCGCACGAACCACCTCTTACATTAATAAATCACCCCTATTTTATGTATATTCTACTCTATTATTGTGGCTCTAGTTTTCGTCCTGAGTAAGATCAAGGCTCAGGCGGGACCCGGGCTTAACCTTCGCCCTGATGCCCAATCAACCAAGCACATTAACTATATTTCGGCTGCCGACCGCGACGTTCATGTGGCAAAGGTATTAGTTATATACATAACATTAGCTTCTGCCTCCTTAACGTATTTATTGGACAACTAGATGCGTTAAAGGTACTAGGTATCCTATACCTATTAAAAAGCACATTGTTTGACCATTTTGTGTCTTGGAAGTGGCGTAGCTGATTTACAATTGATTGCCATACCACCATGGCCCATCCAATTTACTCTTTGAACATCGTTGAAACAATAGCTATATTTACTCAGCTACTATCATGCTATTCCCTAATCAACAGTTTTTGGTTAGAGGCATACAATGTAGCAAAGTAAATAATTGATTATAGAGGCACAGCTAACTTGGCAGTCAAAGAATTAGCAAGACTATCCACAGGGCACAATCGAGGATTCGTTCAACCCCAAGACGGTAGACGATACAGTTATGCCCCTTGAAAGCCCTTTCTTCGAGGCTGAATTGTTAATCCGGCAGCCATTCGAGCAACATCGGAGCTAGTTCTTGTATTCGTCCTCAAAAACGCTGCGATTGGTAAGACATCCTAGATCAACTGTGTTCTAGGAGCACTAGCCTAGAGAGCATTGTATTTTTTCTCCGTATCTATGAACATGAGGCTCGGGTTCCGACATTGCTCAGTTCAAATAGTAGGTTGCAGGGTGTTTACCATGCTCAAATGAACTTTCTAGAGACACACCAACATGTTTTACATAGTTTGGTCATTAACGACTTCACCACAGGACGCAAAGGTGGTGTTTGTCGGTTCAAATGGTTGCGAATGAACGGGGGATGAAAAATCTTCCACCGATGAGCCTTCGAGTGGCATTGGGCTCTTAATCCGCAAATTCCTAGCTGATTCCTCAAGTTTCGATATTTGGACCAAGCGTTTTGATCAGAACGAAGGGTAAAATGGGTGACTAAATTGACCTATTAGCAAAAAGAAAGTCAAATACCCGTCGACATAACCAAGCAAAACCTACATATGTAGATACTTATAGAGAGGTATTTGGTAAGAGAGTATTGGAGAAGGCTGTTGGCTCTGGGAACGGCTAGAAAAGGCCCAGGATATGGGCTGTCGTACCATTAACATGAAAAGTTAGAGAACTGCTTTTGGATTCAAGAGGACAATTCAGTCGAGAACGCTGGTCCAATACAGTCCAATACTTGGTGCAACGAACTATTTATCTTCAGCCGTGAGAAGCTGTAGCAAGCTATCATTGATGTGGCACTCAGGGAAGGAAATATCTAGGAGGTGCAGGAAGGCCATGCAACATGGAAGGCCACTGGACAGGCAGCATGAGAATTTAAACTGCAAAGCAAGGGGCCATATAGCTCTTCACGGGTATGCTGCCATGTATAATCCATCGTTTTTCAGAGAATTAGGGTATTGACAATGTTTTCAAGGACGCATAATATCAGAAACTTCACTATAATAATTGATACAGGCGCCTTTACCCCTGTGTAAAGCCGCAAAACGTACAGAGGCCCGTTTTAAGTGCATTTCTTCTGCAAGTCATTGCAGCGCGCGCGAATCCGTGTTGAAGCGGGTCTAAACCACCAGAGGCGAGAAAGAGATGCTGCCTTTGTAGAGATCTCCTTATCTGCAGGCTACAGCTTCCATTAACTCATCAATGGCTCTGTATTGGGACAAAAGAGCCAAACAACAGGGCCATATATGCCTTGAGTGCTGCGCTGATACGAGGCGGTTTAAGCCAAGAGGACCAAAGTACTCAACTTCAGCATCTCCCTTCCAATTGACAGAAGTTTCCTCTCCTTCGCTGAAAAATATTGATGGAATCGAATCATGCATCGTGGATTCGGTTCTTTTGCATTTATTGAAGTTTCTGTGCTTTATGCGACGGCCAGCCAAGTAAAAAGGGTTGCTAAACACATTATGTGAAGCTCATGCATGCCAAAACGCATGAAACACATGATGCTTGGTACTGGAGATGCATTGCATGACACATATTCTTGTCCATTAGTCAACCCTTGATTACAGCAAGCGGATTTGGCCGTTGGCTAGGGTCCATTCAAGGATCGGTTGCGATCTCAACGCGATGAAAAGGAGCCCCGGCGCCATCAAGATCACCCCTTTTCACATGGAGCGGGATATCCAGCCTCTTCCCTGTAGTAGCATGTCTGAGATGCTAGCTTTTTATCGATCATGCAAGTTCTTCGGATGCTGGTAGAGACTTATATTATTTGGATTGATAAAATAACCGGAGAGCAAAAATGACACCGTTTGTGGTTCCCCCTCGGCGGTGGTGGGTAAGGATGCATGGTATATAATATAATACTATAAGCTATTGTTGGGCTAATCATTGAGTTAACAGGAGCTGCCGTTAGGATATTCGTGGTATTATAGATGAATGAAATGCACCGGTCGATGCCTCAGATATTTTTAAAAGTGAGCCCGCTATTAAAAAGGAAGTATGGCTAGAAGAATGGAATGGTAGAAACGACAAAGTGTGAAGGAAAGGAAATAAATTCCGTGTATAAAAAACAAAGGAGAACTCCGTATGTTGAACGCCGTCCAGTCCTGGTCATTGCATAGCCACATTCTCCGTCTATCGTTGGTATCTGGGAAGGGATTCCCCTGTCGCTATTGGTTGTCCTATGATGTCGTCTTCTGTAAGGACAGGGGCAGAGGGTAGGGGTTGATGGCGGATATCGCCGTTTTCAGAAGCCGGAGCGGTGGCCTGGCTGGGCCCACCGGTGGCTGACTCTGGTGCGTCCGAGCCCGGCGGAGCGCTTCTCTCGTTGAGGAGTCGTTGCTTTTCTAGCTCTTGCTTGTCGTCTGAAGGGAGGGAAGTTGAGTGGGGCTGGTGGTAGTTGGGATGGGACGAGCTTTCAGCAGCGCTCTCAGGCAGAAGATACGCGCCAGGATGTTGAAGGGCGGGAGATGATTCGTGGGCAGAGTAAGGGGTGATTGTATCGGGTGAAGGGGCGGAAGGAGGGTGAGAGTGCATATAAGCAGAGGCAGAGTAGGTAGGAGTAGGGGTCTCGAAATACGAGAGGTCGCGGTGCTCTGAGAGGGCCGGTGCTGAAGCCAGAGCAAGTGTAGAGTTCGACGGGCCAGCTTCATCAGATGCTGGTGGCGCACTGGGTAGGAGCATTGCCTCCGCTCGGCGTAGCCGCGTTTTCTCATCAATGTCCTCTTCCAGTTGAGCCAGCGGAGGGTCTATAACGTACTGGTCCGGAGGCCGGGCATGCCATGGCTCTCGGTCTTCAGATCCAGCGCTATAACCATTATCCAAACTCCGGTTGCCTCGAGACCTGTCTGCAGAGTGAATCTGTGGTGCCTGAGATTGCTGCTGTTGCTCACGAACGGTTTCCGGGGTAGTCGGTTGAGTATGTTGATCGATATTTGAAGCTGGGTAGTCTTGACGAACACTTCCATCGCTGGACGTCTGCTGCTGCTGGCCTCTACCGCTATCCTTTGACCCAACAACAACCTCGAAGACGCAGACAATGACACTCTTGTCCCTTCGCACTTGGTCGGTGTCCAGTATGTTCCCCGTACAGCTGGAAGTAGTAGACGTCCCTCCTCTCGATGTCTCCACGGTGTTAAACCCACGGGGGGCAGCGCAATAATTGTAACTATTGGAGGATGAGTTCATTATATTTAACCGTGGGAGGAAGCGGTCCTGGCCAGCCAGCTTTCCTCGTATATCCATAACCACTTCAACATAGTAGCGAAAACTGATCATTGCGCCGGGGACGCGCGTTATCGTAGGAAAGCAGTCCTCAGGAATTCGAATTGATGTCTTTATATCTGCGGTCATGGTGTTGGGATCTACTATCAGCGGACAGAATATCTGCGACATGTCCTTTCGAAAGACACTGCAAGTTCTAGTCGCACCAAAGGAGAGACCTCCCAACCCTGTTCGTGATTTAGGATAGTAGTCTTCGTAAACCGGCCTTTTACCCTTGGCTGGAGTACCGATGGGAATAGCCGGGTACATGTCAATCCTTCCCTGACGATACAGCGTGACAATGATTCCATGAGGGCTTCGAATTGGTTTGGTATGATTGATCATAATTCTGAGTGGAAGAACATCGCCCGGCAAGCCTCCGCCGCGAAGAAGCTTGGTCGTGGCTGTTATGGTATCTGAATCTCTGGCGGTATTTGACTCGCTGATAACCTGGAAGCTCTGTGTGCTATTGCTGAGGTAGCTCGAAGTGCTCTGTTCACTCGGTACGGGACTCAACGGGGGCTTCTGCTCGGACGTTTGCGAAGACGATGGCTCAAGAGATGCCGGGCCTGCAGCACCGTTGAACCCTCGCTCACCAGAAGTAGATTTCTTTCTTGGTTTGGACTTCGACCTTGCGGATATGGGTTCAAGAGTGATAACACGAGCTTTGGGAGCCGGGAGGGGAGCAATGTCGATTCTCTCGATGAGGATAAGTCGCTTATCGCAGGACATTGAAGGGGTGATGGTCGTCGGTCTTGTGAGAGTTGATGTGATCATATACGATATCGTCCCGCGCTCGAACTACAAAAAACAGCGTTAGAAACTGGCACTGTAAGCAAAATAAGGAAAGGACGGGGAGAATTGGTCAAGACAGACGTTGATACTGCTGGGCAACGAATATGGAGGGAAGCAGAGCTCGAACCGAAACTTATAGATGCCCTCCTTCAGCCTTCCATCGCCGCACAAGACTACCTCGTCCTCGAACAGCGAGGTAAAGCCGTTGCCCAGATATTCGCCGTCTCTGCGCCCGCGTCCCGGCCCCAGGTAGCCCGACTCCTCTGCATGGTCACCAGGGCCGACCGTGTTCTTGAAGACCTTCGCGTAACCATGTAGACAGACAACCAGATGCGTTATCCGGACAGGCTTCACAACGGTCAACACTACCGCGCCCTTGACGATCTCCCCAGGGTGGTACGACTTCCACGGGTCATCTGGCTGCACGTAGAACTCCGAGATGTTGCGATTGCGGTTTCCAAAGCGGCTGGTCAGTTTCGACAGTATAGACCGGTGTCTTGTTGGCGGGACAGTCGAGGAGTCGATGGCATTTGTATCGAGGGCCATGACAAGCCTCGACGCCCGCTCCAGAGAAGGGGAAGCGGGCCTACAGTCGTCGTCGTTCTAATTATTTTTATCTCTCTCTCTCTCTCTCTCTGTTTTTATATCCGTTTTTTTCCTGGGCTTTTCCTTGCCCTCACAGAGGGGAGAGAGGATGAAGTGTTGGTCGCTCAGGTCGCTCAGGTCGTTCAAGTCGTTCCCTCCATAGGCCTGCCTGCTGAGGTTGCGCGAGTTCGGCTCGAAGGATGACGATCCGGCTTCTCTTCCTGCTGAGCCCGACGCTCTGATTATCTCTTCTCCTTTTTCCTTCCGTCCTTTATATACGGCTGTTCCCCCTTTTTGAGATACCTTGGTATTCCCGATGGGCACGCGAGACGGCGACGGTTCGGGATGGGGGGGGTGCGAGTCGAGGGCGGGAGACGAGGAAAACTTGGGGAGGTTTTATTCAGACGACGGACAGTCAAGTGTAGTTATTTAGGGGTGGCGTGGAGTCGCCGGTGGCTAGATGCTGGCTTCGAGGCGGTTAGACAGGAGGATGCCTGGTCTTATAGTTCCCGGGATGCGGATTTTTCTTTTGGCGTGTTCTAAACTACTGCAGAAGAAGCGACGGCAAGGGAGGCGAAGCTTCTTTTACTCCGTACTCGTGTCGGTGTTTCTGATGTAGCACTTTCGAGGTGTAACGGAGTAAGGGGAAGGGAGCTGGCGTTCAGCCTTCGTGCAGGGAGCTGAGAGATAAACTAGAGGATGAAGATCAAGGTGATAGAGAAGACGGTCAAGAGGAAGAAGAGGGAGGGAGAGGGAGAGGGGCAATCAGAGAGAGAGAGTGAGAGAGAAAGAGAGACAGCTGGCAGTAGGACGAGGCCGCAGCAGACTACTTAGCATCCGCTCTTATTAATTAAAAAGGGACATGCATCAAAAAGCTTGACATCTGCGAAGATTACTTGGACCCCTTCTTCTCCATCAAAGGAGGAGAAACTCTGGCCGGCTCGTATTAGTAATTCCACTCATTCCTCGAAGGTAGCTGTTTTACTCCTGAGCGGACGAACAAGTCCTCGGATTAGTCGGGGGCTTCGGGGGCTTCGGGGGCTCGTCTGAATGGCTCCAAGGCCTGGCCGATAACTAGCTAGGCAGCAGCAGAAGCGGGACAGCCAGACCACCAGATAGCAGGATCCAGTGAGGAGAATATACCGCAAGGGAGCAGTGTAAACACGACCGGCTAATAATGCGGTCAGGGCATCTCTGCTGAATGCGGATGCGACTCTGGACCAAGACGCAATGGCGGGTCAAGGCGAGGTGATAAGACGGCGTTCAACCGCTAAACCGGGTTGGAAAAATGCTTCGAAAAAGCTTGCCTACTTCCGCCCAATGAGCGGAGGAGCAAGATGGGGTTCATGTGCATGAGATGACATCTTGGAGGCCGTCCTGTGTGATGCCTCAGTTTCTTTCTCAACCGCCCTGCAACGTCCCGTTCTCAGGTGTAAACAGCTCGTTCCTTGCGGTGCATGTAATTTGACAACTTATTCCCAGCCTGGTCGACAGCCAGCGTTTCACCCTTGCAGCATAGCATGACGCTTTCTCCACCTCCCTCTTGCTTTTTGCCCACACACCACATGCACCGAGATCCAACTACACTGTTGAGAGGTGTGAGTACAGAGTGTGTGTGTGTGCCAGAACTATACCATGTTGCGCAGGCCTGCCCGAGCAAGAATGCCTCCACACAACAGGGGGAGCGCAAACCCATGCCCCGCGACCACTCCGTACTCGACTAGTTATTGGATCGCTTAACACGAGATCACATTTGCTGTAGAAGTCTGTTTGTTGGCCCAAAAGGTCGCTGCGTTTTTTGTTTTGTTTTTCCTTGTATCTGGCTTCCATCCGTCCCTAGACCAAAGCCTAAAACGGAGGAATTACTTAGCGGCCTTCGCCTGTGGCCAGCAAACCACAGCACCCTGACTGCCCACCCGGCCGCTTGTTATGTACCTAGGTCTGCCCACTCGCGTCTTCCCAGGGTTCAGCATGAGGTGACTTTGTGAGTCAGTGAGCACCACTCCATACAACTAGCAAGGCAACTAGTCAGATAGCTTGTCTGCTGGCTGGCTGGCTGGCCTGTCTATCTGCCCGCGCGGTACCTGGTCAAACGCGGGTCAAGTGCCATCCTGCCCGTTTGGCGCTGGTCTCGCATGCACCCACTTGTCAGCTCACCCCGTCCAGGGGCCTGTCTACATAGAGCACTCACCGGCATTCTACCGGCTCATTCTCTGGCAGCCTGCACCCGCTCGCTGCCTGTTGCCTGCTTGCCGTCGAACGCGAGGTTGAAGCGAGGTTGGAACGACGTTGAGATTGACGTTGCGAAGCCGACGTCGAAGTAGCCGAGAAAAAAGGCTTGCTCACGTGCCAAGAGTTGCTTGTTTTGGCGATGGATCTCTCCACACGAGCTTGTCTCCCGCTTCCTGATATCAAGATGGACCGTCCGGACGGCGGGCGAGGTGCAGCGGACAGGCGAGAGAGGCTCTGGGGGGATCGATCGTCCGCCGGGGAGCTTGTTGGTGTGGATAGGCGCTGGGATGGCTCGGCTGTGTGTCACGGTGGCGTGAGACGAGGACAGCAGCAGGCCTGGGAGCAGCCAGAGCCAACGGAGCTCGAGGCGGCCATGCTCTCAGATTGGCCATGCACGGTGCCAGAGGAAAAGGGTTTTCTCGGTAAGGTAAGGCGTGCGAGTGGCAAGGTGTAAGCATCTTTAGCGAAGCTACCAGGCAGGCTAACCAGGCGCCAACCAGGCTACCAAAGACCGAGGACTGCAGGTGCCAGGCAACCACTACACACCTCTCACCAGCCTGGACTCTGGCCGATTCACTCTCGCGAGACAGAATGCCGTCACAGCCTGGCTCTGGTCGTTGTGCTTATCTAGCTTCGTCTTCAAGCCAAACTTTGGGCCAGGCTGCTGGTTTCAACACAGCTTTCTTTGTCCCGCCCAGGCCAGGGGAGTATCAAGAAAACTGCGGATACCTCCGTCCTGCCTCTTGCACCCACATGCTACTACGGAGTAATTGGGATAACAATCCCACACCGCACCGTAAACTTAGTATGCTTATTCCCCGGTCAACTACTTGTCCAGCATGCTGGCGGAGAATTCTAAACACTACTCTACCTCACGCCGGGGCCCAAAAGCCAGGGCAGCAAGAGCTACTTTTCTTTCTACGTCTCAGATGCCCAGTCACCTCAGGTATCGTGGCATATAAGTAGAGTTCATATCCGAGTGTTCAGTATTGGTACTCATATATTTTCGCCATATTGATTGAAAGACCCATACGGAAGATTCCCGCAGCACGGTGATTTAGCCTAATTATCCCTGCAATGCGATCATCTAATCCACAGTTCCTCCAACACCTGGTGATAACGCTTCACACCATTGTTGTCTCCAGCAGGCCATCCCCTGTCGTTGCCTCCTCTCTTAAGCCCAGTCACATCATATACGTTTTTCCTGGGCAATATCCCGTGCACATATGGATGGATAGCGGTTTGCCCTCTTGTCTCTACCCGAAACGGTGTTGAAGGAGGATATCAGGACTCATTTCCTGATGGTCCTCTATCGGAATGAAAATCTGTAAATAGTCGCCGTATGTCAGTCCGTTGTCAGCATCGCACAGTATACTTGGCTACAAGAATCCCAGTCATCACTTTTGCCAATTGCCCCACGGCCGGATGCGGTTGTGTTCTGTGGAAACGCAGGTTAAACACCTGAAATGCCTCAGTCTTGCAAGGGGTTTCCACTTCCATGGCATGCATACAACTTGTCAACTTGCCACTCCTTGGCCGAGAATACACAAGAGTAAGGCTTCATGGATAAGATATGTGCCATGTTAAACCCGAGGGTTGAACATCGTCTATCACTTCCTCCCCCTGAGCCAGCCAGAGCCATTCTGGACACCTCAGCATTACCCATATCGACACCATAACGCAGCTACCCAAGATGCAAACAGCGAACAGCGCATCTCTGGCCTCCATGATACGGTTCCCCAGCCACTCACCCATCAAATCAGGAAATGACCCGTTCACGGCGAGTCATTTAACATAAAACCTTCGGCTATGCTATCGGAACTTGAAGATACGTCCAACTGAAAATGCCCTTTCGGGCACTAAGCATGGTGCCCCTATCCTTTATAATTCCTCTACGCCGGCTGCTTTTGCCTAGGTGCCTGTTACCTAGCGAGGGGCACTGCCCTTTGTCACACGACCGCCAATCCTTATTCCCGCCTGGCCGCATACCCCTGGGCCGGCTTCCTGGAGTAACACCGATAGGACTTGGGATATATATGCAACTCCCGCCGCCTATATACTTCTATGCTCGTGAAGGGAGCATCCATTTCTTGGCTGCTAGGTCATCTCGTTTGCCTAGGTAGTACATGATTACTTGTGGCCCTTTCTACCTTGAATGTGTTTGAGGGACTGAGTATTATCTTGGGATATAAAATATGCCAATACCCGTCGCAGCACAGAAGTGGCCGCATGACAAGGCATACATATATTTTGTACAGTGTTTCGCTCCACCCATGTACTCATTTGAGAGTACCTTACACAGTCTCCTGTTCTTCTCTTCTATCGCCACCCTTTTCCCGAATTCCCAGGCAAGCTACTCCGTACAGGTACAACTAAAAGCTGTTTTATTCATTGCTCAATGGAGAATTCAATATGCAGCTGCCCCGCCTAGTTGAAGTTCATGCTTTCTTGCATAAAAAATTAGACCGTTTGGGTTCACAACGGCTGTCGATGCCGCGAATATGCATCGCGCCATCGTCTCTCAGCGAATAGATGAGCTTGAAACATGCGACTGAAATCTCATGATTTTCCTCATTGTAATATATAATGTGCGATACAACATAGTGAATACTCGATACAATAGCTAAATGAGTTTAGCTCCGTTTTCTGTTTGTGTGTCACCCAGGCTCACGGTTCCCATGTCTCCAGGTGAATATTCCCGGCCTCCTACTCGACAGGATAGAGCGTTTACCGGCATAGATGGGCCAGAATACACAGGCTCCTTTTCGGTCATGTCTACGGCGGTTACCCGTTTGAATCATCGTATGGAATACTACATGGCCTCGTTTGAGGTCCAAAGTTCTATAGTAGATCAAGGATATGTACACTTATGTATCTTACCACCTGCATTATACAATTGTCGGGTTACAAATTGGCAAACTTTCAGATGAGTCGCGTCACTTGGTGACATCAAATATCTAATCTTGTTGGTTACGGTAAGACAGGAAACGGCATAGTTCCCTTGCTCAGATCTCTCCGCCATTTTACCTATATATTATAGAAGATAATTATATATCCGGAACCGAAATTATCAACCTTCATACTCTACTGAGAAGAAAAATATACCCCAACCATTCCTTTATCCCATTCACAGCACGTCATCAACTCAATTTCCGGTTAAACTACTATTGAACAGTTATGAAGCTCGAAGAAGCGTCCAAGATTCCGAAGAATGGCCAGGCCCAGGTGCATGAGTCAACAGTATCCTTCGAGGATCGTGAGGGAAGCTTAGAAGCGGTTTTGGGTACTCCCAATGGAGGACGCAATGCCTGGATGCAGGTTATGGGTGCCTGTGTTCTTACACAAAATACATGGTAAAGCAACATTCTTCTGTATAACTAGACTATTTCATTGTCTGGAAACAATTAGCTGATGCTCATTATCCAGGGGTCTTGTAATGGCTCATGGAGCCTTCCAAGCAAGCTATTCTCAAACTCTCCTGCCTACTACATCACAATCAGCCCTTTCATGGATTGGCTCGGTTCAAGCATTTTTTATCTTGTTTGTTGGAATATTCTCCAGCAAGGCAGTCGGCTCCAGTCACTTCCATCATGTTACAGGGACTGGATTGATAATACAACTTCTAGGGCTTGTTATGACCTCCATTAGCACGAAGTACTACCAGTTCTTCCTGTCTGAAGGAGTGTGTGTAGGTATTGGGTCTGGTTTGCTGTTTGCTCCTGGGATTACCATTGCAGCCTCCTACTTTTCAACAAAACGTCCGTTGGCTATTGCAGTTGCCACTTCTGGAGCGGCTATAGGTGTGTCAATTCTACCCTTTGGTATATACAACTCCACTAAACAACAATGCTAACTTTAAACTTAGGTGGAATTGTTTTCCCAATAGTAAGCTATTGGCTTATTGTTGCTGTCGGCTTTCCATGGGCAGTGCGGATAATCACATCCCTTGTGCTCCTGGCATCGGGCTCGACTCTATATACTCTCCAACCATATCATCCTTCAATTCCTCAAAAAAGAGGACCATTCATTAGCCTTGGTGGGTTCAAAGATGCCAGTTACTGTACCTTTGTGATTGGAGCCATTCTGGGGCTCGTTGGTGGTTTTGTTCCATTCTTCTACATTCCGGTATATGGCCTTTCGCTGGGGTTGAGGACCGAGCTGGCCAGCTACTTTGTAAGTGCAATGAATATGGCAGCTTTGATAGGAGGCTTCAGCCTAACTATTTTAGCTTCAAGGTCAGTATAGTATGTGCATATCTAAATAACAGATTTACTGATGTCAATAGGCTTGGAAATCTGAACACGGCCGTCTTGTTCACAAACGTCTGTGGGATAGTCTTGATTTCTCTAATACTCGCGGTAGATCCAGTGGGAGTCATTATAGGGTCATTATTCTATGCCCTGGTAGCTGGTTATCAGCTAGTACTCCTATTCACCGCCATGGCATCTATAACTATCGACGCCAGCCCAAGATGTAGCCAGGGCCGGGCCGCCCTTATCCTTGGTTCCCTTGGCGCCTTGCTCGGTACTCCAGTCGCCGGCGGCATTTTATTCAAGCAGGACAGCAATGTGCATTCCATGAACCCTAGGGACTGGAACTTTACCTTGGCCTTACTCTTTTCCGCGGCGCTTATTTTCCTTTGTGGTGTGTTCATGACTGTCACCCGTGTTCTCAAAAGTGGCTTCCGGTGGGAGAAAATTTGAGGAGTATAATACAGACCAAGTAGTGTGTTTTGATTTTTGTGAGATATAAACCAATGGGGATCTGTATCAATCCTCCGCTTCGATATTGCCATCTATCCCTTTTCCCCCTTATTGCCTCCGGCATACTCATGAGTTCCAAGATTGTTGCGTGGTTAAGCATTGATCATGATGATATCCCATTTATCGTTTTCTCTCAAGTGAGACTTGGAAACAAGCCGTTTGCCTATGATGAAAGATTACCTATTTCAATTAGAGTATCCTTTCCTTTTGCCAGATGTACGTAACCCAGGTCATTTCGGGAAAGCAAAAAAGCTTCTGTTCCTGAGTAAACGGAACTTCTCCGCACTTGTCCCAGCAATCCAGTGTATTCGTACGGTCGATTTAAGCTATTTTTAGCACGAGCCAATCTATGGTCCTAAGCAATATGGAACCTGGTTGAATCAGGGTTTCTGTAACCACGAGGCATCTGTCATCCAGGAAACGGATTGCGTGTATTTACACTACATAGTTTCCACTGATTAAGGCTTCGGGGAGGGGTATTGTTGGCATTTGTCTGGTGATCTGGCGGATTTAACTGTGTATAAATCATGGTATCAGCGGCTGCCCCTGAGCAGGCGAAAGTGAGCCATCAATAGTCATTCCAATATACAAATCAAGCAATGGAAGCCCCCCCCCCCCCCCAAAGAAAAAAAGCTTAAAGGGATATCTCCAGCCGTCAACTAGCCGGCCAGCACCGAGATAGCCCTCCTCGGAGTGGTAGACGTCTTCGAGTAATCCGTGAGCGCAGGCCGCATGCTCGTCGTCCCTTATGCACGTGACCTATGTGGCGGTGCAGGCCGCTGGGTGTGGCGTCGGATTACTAACAGCCCGGCCGCGGTTGGTTTTCCGAGATCTTCCGCTGGAAAAGTCACCCCACAGGTTCAGCATCATCCATCGTCGTCACTATCACAACATCCATGACCGATGCTCTTCTCTTTGCCGCGAGACAGGCCAGCCTACAATTCAATATCGACAAACAGACCAAAGTGCTGCAGGCGCCTTTTGGATTGTGGTACATGCATGAGCTAGACGCGACGATCTTTGCTCTCTTTTCCTTGTGATCCAGCAACTCCCTACAGAAAAATTTATATCACATACGCCACACGAGCAGAGTGACTGAATACAGCATCGCCAATAGAACAACTCGGTTGTCGATATCAGGCCGAAAGATAGTTGTACACGCGTGTTCGCAGCCATGACGACCAACAGGCCCTTTTTAGCCAACTTCCTCGCTGCTTTCAGGGCGCAAACCGCATATAAGACAGCGCCTTCGAAACCCCCTTCCCCAGGCCCGTCGTCATCACACATCGGTTCTTCGTACTCTCCGCCATCCTCCTCTTCAAATACCACCGGAACTCGAACAATAGCAAGCAAAGCTACGGCAAATCCAGCTCCTTCGAATCCACAACAACCGAATACCAACTCTATTGCTACCGCAGCGGCCGCATCGTCAACATCAAACCACTTCTCCTCCCATCACCACTCCCATCATCATCACCATACCCATGCTCATGCCCATACTCATTCGCATACTTCATCCCCTTCATCCCGAGCCCCAATAAGCTCTACCAGCCATACTAGTTCCTCGGCAGCTGCTCAAACACCCGCGGTTTCCAATTCCACGACGTCTCCGATACCGGTTCCAACACCTTCATCTTCAACCTCTGCAGTCCCGTTTTCGTCATATGATAGGAATAGACGAGGAAGCGATAGCAGTAGTGGTAGTGGAGGGTTTAGGGATGCTCTAGGTCCAGAGAAGTGGTATATTGGGGGTCGAACAACAAGTGGAGAGGAACGACTATATCAACTCGGAATGGTGACCAAGGGTGGCGGTAGGCTAGGAGGTGGAATGCGTGTGGGCAGCGTTGACCAACTAAGCCTTTGACATAAGCCGGCGAGGTACAGAACAGATTGGCCTTGATTCAACCAAAGTTGACGGCCCAAAGTTTTGTTTCCACTGCCGTGAACCAGTTTTTGTTCTTTTTATGAAGCTTGGGCGTTGTACGTTCCTGGTGTTTTTATCTTTGTGTTTTACATTAACGAACTATCATTGTAAAAACATTATTGGCGGGCATTCTTGGGTGCGGTATAGAATTTGATACTTCAGCTTTTCAATCTCATTCTCTCAGCATGTACAAAGTTAGCATAAAATGCTCAAGTTTGTGTGTAACTATATACCCTTCGTTGAATTTCTATGACATTACTATCTATCAATCTCCTAGGCTAACAGCTCTAAATAACCATATGGCGTCTAGTCATAACCCAGGGTGTCCTTTCATCCATGCATCCAGACTACAATATTTAGCCATCCATCAGCATATGCTGCACACCGTGCCATTTCTTCCAGGGGTGCACTCATTGGTACTGCGGCTCCATGTAATATTGGTGTGGCCATACTTGTGTCCTTAACGTCTGGGAACAAGCTAGGAACTACAGAATGAAGAGCAGTTCCAATAGTTTGAATTTGCTTCTCAGCTCCCGCCAACGCTGTAGAGATAATTGGTGGAAACTGGGATTGAACGACCTTAATAGATGGCTTCTCGGACCCTGGTGCAACGGGCAAATATATTCGCAGTGGTACGTTGCGGAATGGAGTCGATATGTTCGGTAAGAGTGTGTTATTAACTCGGTGAAAGGTTTGAAAGGAGTCTTGAACGTGTTAGACATTTATCATGTTGAGACACCATAAATAGGCAGGTGGTATACATACGTTCTTGTATGGACGTCCAAAGTTTATTTGAGTCTTCTCGTGAAAGTGTCATAATGCTCTTCCCTGTACCGTTGCGAACAAAATCTGCCTCCTTGACACTATTCATAAAGAAGTCATGCATAACCCTCCCCTGCTCGTCGAGACCGACGAGTTCCTGATCAGGCCAGTCTTGAAAATGTAATGTTAGTTTCCAAGGAAGGGTTTCCCGACATGGATACCTTATATCCTTATCATCACCTTGCTCTGGTGCTGGCTCTGTGCTGGCGTATAGATCGTATAGCAAACCAACGGGGTAATGCCATTTCAGCGGAAGCCCTTCAAATGAGAACCAGCCTTGATATGGGTATACGGGATCAGAGCCAATAAGGTAAGGTTTAAAGAAGTCGAGTAGCCTGGGTAATAGAAATGGTAGGTATGAAAGACGAGGAAATGATATCTATATTTCTTGTCAGTGTGAAGAAACATTATCAGAGGGTATATCAGGTGTGATATATGATTTACAAAGTAAGGATCTGCCTTGTCGAACACTCTGCATTCCGACTTTGACAGGTTTATCTGTAGTGGCAGGCAGCCTTCCCAGATCTGTTGCTTGATAGTTTGTGAGGCTGCAGCCATGACTTGGTTCAAGATCTATACTGCCCCTCTACAAGAGGTGCAGTCAGTTAAGTTGTATGCTCTCAGGGTGTAGGATACAGCACGTTGTAAAGCAAATAACGGTCGTGAGGGTCATAGTCTATTAGTAAAAGTCACTGCCGAGATGTAAATGTCGGTTTCAAACTGATGCAGTGCTTGATATATTTGTTTGCTCAAGGTTCCAGATACATCATGGCACGTGACCAGTATCAGACGGGACGGGAGCCCTGCGTTGTTCTCAGCAAGATACCAGTAACAATGACAGCATAAAGTACAGCATGTAGACTGTTAAACGAAGTATCGATAGCCAGTTTATCTCCATATTATAGATGCCTGGGCGTATGTTTACTGCCGAGTCAAGTATAGAAACGTCAACGTCAGTACCAACCAATAGCAAGCCGTTCATTAGTTATCATTTCAGAGAATGATTGTGAACATGGAATAGATGAATAACGGAATACAATTCTATACACCTCAACATCAATAAGACCCGTCTTTTAAAACTAAGAGACTGTAAATATACAAAATCGCCCCAGCTCTAGCTCTAGTTTCCACTCAACCACGCATGACACAAGACGCTTAGAATGGCTATTGGAACATCAAATCGTCAGCATCAAATAAGAATAATGTGAAAGTTAAAATTAATAACGGCCAGGGGATAGGAAAGAGACGTACGTTGTCCTCGGGGGCAATCGATCTATCCCAGTAGCTTCCAATGACAGGAATGTTCATGAGGATATCTTCTCGGATTCGTGGAACATCTCCAAGGAAGAAGATGGCGAAGATGCCGGCTGCGGCGCCCATGGTAGTTGCCATTGGCATCCTATGGATTGGGGTAGATATGTTAGCGGATCCAAGTCCAATGGCCGCAGCGGCTTCTGTTCTCCCACCATCTGCCTCAAGACAGTAGCGCGCCTCCATTCACACCTAGAGATACTCGACTTACATTCTCATGACCTGGGTAGTGGTGAATCCAGCAATTTTGGTTGGGACGGTGTATCTATATGACGAAACCGGGATAATCAGCCCTCCTGCTCTTTCGTTTTGGTGTCCAATTTTGTGATTAATGGCTATCGTCTAACGACTCACTTGGGCGCAAATGGGGATCGGTAGGAGCCAAATGGCCCAGAACGAGGTGCTTGGGATGCCTATTTGATCGCGTTAGTGAGACGGGATCAGTGAAAATGACTCGATAGTTGGCGGTGCCAAAAAGGGTAGAGGGATGTTGAGAGGGAGACTGGGTATGAATTGCCTAACAGCCAACAGTTCGGCAGAGCAGATTCAAGATAAGGGCGAATCGTAAGGCTGAATGGATCATAATTGACCGACTTACCATTGTATGTGGATAGGGAATGTCTGCGACGTGGATAGAGACAGCAATTCAATCGAATCGACGTTCGTCTCTCTAACTTCCGTTTTCTTCCATGGTAGGCGGTTTCGCATGCTGAGTAATCGTTTAATCACGTGTGTATGCTTAGTCATTATGGACTTGTGAAGTTGAGATATAGTTATCGTTAGAGATAGCCAAAAGATAAGAACTAAATTTTAACTAACGGTTCCGAGTATAAAGAGAGTTGAGAGAAAGATAGTTTCATTCAAAACAGTCTATACAGTGAATAGGGCTTACAAATTGGGTTCCCGAAGTCATCAAAGCCTAGTTTCAAGGAATGGCTGAACAAAGATGCAGGGGCAAACAACAGATAAGAAAAGACATACAATTTCGTAACTGCAGTCGCATTGCATCATAAGACCGGAAGCAAACGCAAACGAACACATAGCCGAAGATTCGCAACCAGGAGAGGCAAAAATATGTACGAAGTGGCTGCAGCGAGAAGTGTGAGAGAGCTAATTAGTCTCCGCCCACTTACTCGCTGACAATCTTTCCTTATGTAAAAGACGTGCGAGGCATGCCAGGACCCATTTCAAATTCATCTCCCGCTCCATCCCATCATTCCGTCTAGCGCCGAGTAAGTGTGGGCAAAAGCCGAAAGTGTCGCTAAATGTTGGGTATCGAATAGCCGTCTATTGTCGGATCGCCTCAGGGTATGGAAACCACACGCAGGCAAGGGTATAGTCATAGAACGCAGCATGCAGGTAGCAAACAGTATTGTCAACAGTTTATCAAGGGGCAAAACATTTAGCGCGAGGAGAGCATTTAACAAGGAAGCGTAGTAGGCAAGGCGGTCAAGTCCAGGAACGGAAAAAAAGCATTGCAGACAAACAGGCCAGCCAGCAACGAGCGTCTTGAGAGAGGATAAATTGAACAAATTATGATATAACAGTGATGATTTTCTTTTCTTTTCTCTCCTCCAGGAACCAAAAAACAAAGCCCAAATGTAATATATCAATCGCGAGCCGCCCACCGTGTATGTAAAGAGTGAATGAAAGCAAGACAATAAACAAACAACAAGTACGACTCGCATTATCCCCAAAACGAAAGGAAAGTCTTTCGTTTCTATGCCAAACAGTGCTTTCCACCGATGAAATGAGCTTTTTTTTTTTTTTTTCTCCCTCTCCCACCGATTTTTCTCCAAAAATGAAACTAAGAAAGGGGAAAAAAAAGTACAAATCAGGGGAAGAAAACACGTATTAAGAACATATTTTCCAGACGAAGGAAAATAGGGGAATAATACAAATAAGCCAAAGGGGAAAGTGTATAAAAAAAAGAAAGAAAACAATAAAAAGGTTTTATAAGGGGGACAACAAATCCTCGTCTAATGATCTCACCGATGTATGCAGCAGGTAATAACGAAAATAGGGAGAGTGTAAGCAGGAAATGGAAAGGAATGAACGACAAACTCCTTACTTGGACAAGATCGCAAAAGGAAAGACCGTTGCAAAGCAGATATCCCACAGAGAGGAAAAGAGAGAGTAGGAAAGAGAAAAACAAATAAATGCTCCACCCGAGTCTATAATGCTGGTTTCCATTTGCTTCAATTTTGATGGCGATGTATGATTTCCTGTCGAGTATCCGGACCGTGCCCCGCACGGGCGCTCGACCACTGATTGGCTGTATGAGACGGAACGTATTAAGGAGGAAGGTCGAGATCAAAGGGAAACGAAAAATTGTAAGGGATTAATAAGAGAAACTCGTTCACAATTCGGCCGTCACAGAACTCTAGGTAAAGAAGTGGTGTTGATATAGGCTTGGAGTCACTTTCATCGTCCGTTATTGTCTAGCAGGCTGAACAGTTCCTGTTAATGCTGTGTTAGCATGGAATTCCATATTGCCATTTTGGTTGGTAGATGAGTGTACGAAGCGGTACATACCATCACCGCTTAAGCTGGTGGATGCAAGGTAAAGACCGTTCAGCCCACCATTTTCCTGCTGCCCGGCAGTGGTGGCAGGATAGTACTTGCGATCAGCATCGACATGTGCATGCATTCCGTCATTAACTGGTGTCATGGACGTAGGGTAAACTGGCGGGCCGGGCATGTAGTTCTCATGCGAACCCGGCTGAAGGACAGACCAGTCAATGTTCTGCTGCGGCTGCTGAGGATGAGGGTGCTGTGGTGGTGGATGTTGGGGAGGAGCCTGTTTGTTATCGGAAGTATTCTTAGCATCGATCGGAGGAAGAGCAATACTGGTCGACTGGCCAACAGAGTCAGTTCCAGACTGCGTATGGAACGACGAAGAGTTGTGTTTGGGCTCAGCCATCCAGGTTTTCTGATGCTGCTGCTGATGCGGAGGGTACTGGGCAGTAGTAGTGCCGGCGGGAATCTGGTCCAAGGGACTACGGGCCAAACCGCTACTACCACTCTGTACCGCTGGCGCATGAGAAGGCATAGGATAACTGAATGGCTGATGTTCTGCGAAGCGGGGTTGATGGCTAGGAGCCATTGTAACCCCATGCCCGCTCGCGGGCGCTTCCCCAAACGTAGTACCACCAATACCATTGGGAAGTGAGATGGGGTTACTAACATCACCCTGATTCACCGGTTTAGGCACAACCCCCGCTGCCTGAGCCTTCTTGAGATGAGCATGAGGGTGAGACAAGTGACTGATTCCGGTAGGATTGCCTCGTCGGAGAGAACATTTCTGGAAATGGCGCTTGAGGATATCGCTTCGAGAGAACGTGTCTTTGCAGAGAACACACATGTAGGGGCGATCACCAGTGTCTATAAATCAGGTTAGAATTTAAAGCATTTTGCGGTTGTTAGGGGGTAAAAGAGCGTGACCAAAAAAAAAGGAAAAAAAAAAAAAGGAATGGGAATGGAAAGGGAAGAGTCTGGTTATATTTATCAACTTACGGCGCAACAGATGTCGCTTTAGATGCTTTGCATGAAGATATGTTTTATTGCAGTGTGGGCAAGGAAATTTGCCATCAGCATCCTTAGCTGGAATCGCGGTTCCCTTGGCAGTCCCGTTTACACCATTGGTGATGGCTGCACGTCCTGGAACGCTGGGAAGGATACCTCGTCGACCCTGAGAGCCAACAACCTGAGTTCGTGGTGCATCCTTGGGAGGATAGGCGGCGGCTGAAGCGGACATTCCATCGGGTGCCGCCCACATTGGGCCTTTACCCTCAGCTCCGGTGAAAGGAGCACCGGGCATACCATACTCGTGCGGTCTATCTCGTGGTGGAGCAGGTGCAATTGGCTGGGGATATGCTTGGGCGCCAGTTGTTGGTGGCAAGAGGCCATGTGAAGGGAACTGCTGCTGCTGCTGCTGCTGGTGGTGCTGGCCCAAGAACGAGGCCGGTGGTAGACTGTTCACGGGAGCGTGTGTCGCCATTGGCGCAGTTGAGGCAGCATAGACGTCATGAGTAGAAGTGACAGGATACCTGGGCATATCACTTCGAAATGGTTGCCCCAGATATGACGGCATTGGAGAGTGAGACTGGGGATGTTGGAGAGGAGGGAGCGTGTGCGGCTGCGGAATCTGATAAGGTGAGTGAGCCTGGTACTGGTGAAGATGTGACAGTATCGGAGGCCCCTGGGGAGGAATCGAGGCTGACGCCGGCCGCGAAGCCTGCGTTCGAATATTCTGATCCATGACAAGCGTGGATGGGTTGTGGGCAGATGGTCAATGGCCGTTATAAGCAGTAGTAACAGATTTTACGCTATCTCCCAGCAATCATTGATTGATTTCTCCTCTGAGCGCGAGAGAGGAAAAGGCGGTGTCAATATCGACCGGCAGAATTGGAAATCCTGAAGATGAAGAGAGACCCCTGAAGCGCGCGTTAGCCGAATTGTTCTTCGTTCTTTCTTTCGTCCTTTCTTTTTTTTTTTTTCCTTTTTTTTTCTTTCTTGCTATTCTTCAGCGACTCCTTCAGCCTTGACTAACCTGTAAGGACAGTGATGATAGATTGGGTTGTTGTCACAGAAAGTCGAGGTTTGGTGGTGATGAGAGATAGTGGAGTGTAGAGCTATGAAGAAGATCGATGGTGAGCGCCGTGTTGCAGATGCGAGGTTCTGTATCCACAACGGAAAACGAGAGAGAGAGCGAGGTGAGTGTGTGTAAGAAGAGATGGTCAAGGGACAGTTTGGTCTTTTCTCGAAGGAATGAAAAGAAACGAAGAAAAGAAGAAAGTCAGGAATGGAGACCAACGAAGAGGGTCCAGGAGGGGTAGAAGTAAGTAAGGGCGTTCAGGAACAAAAGGGAAAAAACTGGAGAGGTCGTAAGTTTAGCCTTGAAGAAAAATTTAAGAGGAGCAAGAGAAGAAGAAGAAACAGAGGTTAGAGTGACGATGATGCTATAATGCCGGATAGGTGGGCATCAGTAATCTCTCTCGCTTCTTTTTTTTTTTTTTTTTTTCCCTTTCCGGGATAACTTCCTGGGACGACTTTTTTAGCCTTCTCCAAGTCTCTTTTTTTTCTCTTTCTTTTCTTTTTCTCTCTTTTTTGCTCCTCTTCCTTTTTTTCCCTTTAACATGACTTCCCAAGAGCGTGGAAAGATGATGCTCCGTATCCACCAGGCAGGCAAGGGTGGGTCTTCCTCCATCCAGAGAGATATCAGAGATATATATGTTTTTTTATTGTTGTTGTTTTTTTTTTTTCCATATATTCTGGCACTCATAGGAGAGGGAGTCGACCTAGGTGTAAAAGAGAAGAGATGAGAGAGAAAGAGAGGGATTGTAAGGATAGTAATAGACAGGGCTGAGGCGAAGGCCGGACGGCGAAAACATGACGATACCCAGACGCCTCCGAAAGAGGTTCCCTGGTTCGAGGGTTGCTTTTTCTGCGCGTGGCAAAGGGTACAGATCGGGGTCAAGGGAAGAAAAACAATGGTTGGTGGTAGGTTACGTATGGCATGAAGGTGCTATCCTGTCCTCGCTCCTCTGCCTCTTCATCTTGTCTCTTTTTGGTTTTCTGGGGTTGTAGGGCAGAAAGGCAAGGAAATCTGGTTGCTGGTTGCTGGTAACGACAGGGGAGCCAGCAGCTTATGGATCCGCCACATACGTCGAACCGTTGGAAGTGGCTTGCAGCAGTCTCGACAAAGGGAAACAGCTATAAAAAAGTAGACTTACCAAGGCAGCAAAGTAGATGGCCAAAGATTCGTGATGTCAACGGAGGCTTGGGGCCCTGGGGACGAAGCGAGTTCCCGAGGTCTTAGGGGGTGGAGGGGGGGGTTCCTGGTCGAGGACTGGAGCAGGCAACGCTGCGCTGGAGCCGAAACAACACCGCAATTGCGACTGGTGAACGCGGACAGCGAGCGGCAGAGCAGGCAGCGAGACGTCTAAAGCTGAGAGAGAGCGACACGCAGGCGGACCGCAGTTGCTGAGAGATGCTGAGAGTTGCTGAGCAGAGACGAAGGGTGAAGTCGTCGGGGTTGGAGGTGAAGAAAAGTCGACGCGTTGAAAATAACAACAGCAGAAAGAGGAAAAAAAAGAAAAGTAAAAATAAAAAGGGCGGAAGAAGTCCCGAGGCGGGCGTGGGCTTAAAGCGGCGGTGCGTGTGTGGCAGTGGTACTTCCGTTTTAGCGGTGAGACCCGTGCCGCCCTAAGTACCTCGTCTCCTGTCTTTGATATCGTTGACCTCTATTTGTTATTATTGTTATTTTTTTTGCGCGTACGGAGTATATCACGGACAATAATAAACAGTTGTAGCAGCAGCAGGCATGACGATAGCAGAGGCATGCCCAGCAAGTTGACTGATATACCCGACGATGAAACGGGGGCCTGGGAGGGAAGCTGCCCAGGCTCCAGACAGCCGCCCAGCACAACCTCGACTGCCAGCTACACGGAAAGACATGACGAGCAAGGAGCACAAGGAGCACAAGGAGGTGCTGTCATGTACCGCCCGGATTGTCCGATAAGGCGAACAACAGCTAGCTCGTTGTAACCCAAAGCAGAGGGGGGGAAACAAAGGGGGGGAAGAGGGAGAGCCCCCCTGCGAGAGGCCAAAAAGAAAAAAAGAAAAACAGGGAGGAAGAAGAAACGAAAAGACCTCAGAGATCCCTGACCCCGGCTTGGATCTGCGAATGGGATTGCTGCCTGCAACCGCCAGAAACAGCTCACACCCTCACGAGTCACCACATGGCCGAGTTATGCTGTCAGGTTCTCCTTACGTGTTGCCAGAGACTTGCTCAAGAAACTCGCTTTTTTTTCTTTCTTTTTCTGGTTTTTGATACCCGATTATTGTCGAGAGCACTTTCTTCGGTTTTCTCCTTTTGGCTTTACACCCTTTCGCCCGGGCGTGGTCACTAGGGAAATGATAATATGCGTGTTGCGTGCTTGACCGTCTGTGTCGTCAAGAGGACATATTCATCTTTCATACCTGCACTAATCTCGGAGCTTGCAGAACAAGTGGCCTTTCAAGGTCTCGTTTCTGCTTGAAAACCCCCGAAACGTGCATTTGATGTGAACCCTGCATGAGATTGCTATAGTGAACGACTATTTTGGGGTGCCATGGGCGGAAGGGGTATTATGGCTTGCACCGTCACATACCGTGGAAGGGTCGATTGCTACCTTCCATCGTATTGTCGTGAACGTGCTCTCCTCGATGACTGATGAGCAGCCAACCGCGATCTCCATGGAAATCAATTAAACAGGTATTGCTGGGCTTTTAATAATATTATTGTTGTTATTACAAACAACTCTTACGATGTAATAGAAAACTGGCCAGGAATGATTACTTATTCTGGCCCATCCCTGGTAATTGAGAAAGCAGCTGTAACGAAACATGTTGACTGATGGCCCGAATGACTAGGTCAGGGCATGGTCCTGCACAGCATACAGGGGCCGCAGAGCTTCGGAGACCGCCTTCAGCAATTGATCAATTGGGGAGGGATTATTTGTATGTCATCGAGTTGTCATGGCAGGAGAAGCAGATAGGCAGGTGTTTTATTATTGTTGAAAGTCATAGGTGGAGAGAGACGCGGTTAACGCTCCTGGCTGTTTGGTTCGGATAACGCTTCCCTTGCGGAGAACTACGGAGTCACATCCCCATTCCATGCATCCAGGATCAGGCCATAAGGAACATGCAAAAACAGGGTCACCAAAAAAAAAAAAAAAAAAAANNNAAAGCAAGAAAGCAAGACATACACGGGAGAAAAAAAAAAAAGAACGAAAGGAAGAAAAGGAATTCCCTCCAACGAATTGAAATATGACTTCACACACTATAGGAACCGTGCTAACAAATAGAATGAAGCGTCGACAAGTGAAGCAGCAGCACAGCATAGCAACTATTTAGTGCAGACACTCCTTATCCACAAGCGGAAACCCGGAAAAAGCAATGGAGCAGACCACGGACCCTTGCTAGAGCTGGTGGCCATCGAAGCCTCATGGAAGGAGCATCGAATCACACTAACCACTCCTGCTAAGATCCTGAGCGAAGAATTCGTGGTTTTCTGCCGGGCTGTCTGATCTAGCAGCGGCATGATAGCTCAGATGGCAATGGCGCCATCAATATATTTTCCATTATTATCAATCCTATTTTTTCGTCCTCGGTTAGACGGCACAAGGCGAATTAATTGAGTTCGTTTCTGCTCAGAAACGAGGAAACGGGACAGCCATTCGGATAGTAAAGTCGGCATCTACGCATCCATCCATCCATTCAACTTTGGAATTACCAACTCTCTTCGTAAACAAAAGCGATAAGAAGTCGTTGGTATCTCTTTCAGGACAAGTGTCAGCTATCAAAGACACATGGGCTCCTATACAACACGTACAAACTGCTTATCTTTTTGTATATCTCTCGCTGTGCTCGGTACCCAGCAAACAACGTTAGGTGCATCCCCACTGATTCCCAACGTTGCGGAAACCATCTTAAGCTTAAACAGACGCTGGTGGATGGGTGGAGGGAGGGTACATAGACGTACATTATTGCGACATACTTACACAGAGCGGGATGAACGGTCATCGCCCTTTTTGGGCCTTTTCTGCAAACAAGATGAACATGCTGATGGAGTCTGGAGGATGTGGACTCAAAAAAGAAGAATGGAGCTGCGGTTTAAGCAATCGCCGCCTCTTGGGTTCGACTTCTTGTACGTGCGTCTGTGGGCTCTGCGCCTCCGGAACCTAAAGAACGTGCGCTCATCGAACTCACCAAGCAGTCAAGCTGGGTTCGATATCAACAGAAGCGTAAATACGAAGCATCATCCGTCCGTCAAACCTGAGCGACACACTACTCGACCGAATAACAACTATAACACCGATGACGAGCGAAAGAGTAACTATGCCAGATATGTAAGTAAGTACCCTGTGAGTGACATTTGCCATAAAGCCAAAATAGATTAATGGTCCTGCTGGACGTGAAAAGTTGCAGACTGCTATTTCTGTCCCAACCTGAAACGAAAAGGAGATACGAGAACGAAGGAACACCATGCTTCATGGTTCCTTCTTCTCACCCTTCACGAAAATCGATAGTTCAGATCGTGATAGCATTCCGAACCACTCAGCTCAAAGATTCACCCATTCATCCACCTTCCCTTCCCTTCACCCGCTCTCGTATGCGTTGGATGAACGATATTCCGGGGTTGTCGTTTAAGGGGGTGGACACTAGCAAGCCTAAAAGAATCACTTCCGTCTCTCCGGCCCTCCTTTCTCAGCATCACTTTCGTCCTGCAGCTTCTCAACTGAGTTTTCCTGCACAGACACCAACTAGACGATTACGCCAGTTCTCATCATACAGGATAAGCAATTAAATCATAATTAAAACCCGACGAAATAAGAGCGTCTCGAAACGAAAAAAAGCCGAAAATTCACCCAAGAAAAACGCTGCCAAGACCTGACGTTCTGAAGGTGGGCTTACATAAACCACGCTAGTGCTCGTTTCGGCTGCATACCTCGGTGAACTTTCCTGATTTGGCAGTCTTCGCACGCTGGTTGCAAAAATTCATATCAAGTTTGAAAAGGCCAGCAGCTGGCGAATAACTACCCACGATGTACGATGATGTGATGAGATGGCGCAGCTGGCGACCCGATGTTACTCCGTGACCTTACTTGTGTGGTGTTCTCCTGCCGCTGTATCATGATGAGCCGTGCTTATCTGGCATAATCTGGCATGCTAGCTCGCTCTTTTCCTTTCCCACCTCCCGTGCGAGAAAGCCGATACCAGATCTACGTGCTGCCAATCCAGGAGAGACATAGTATATTACTCCTCAAGTTTATCATGTGCTGAAGGAGTCTATTATGACAGGCGTGGCCCCCCGGGTTAGCCAAATAAGAAGCCGGAAGTTTCAAGGACTGGCTCAATGGTTTGCAAAGCCCTCCCTGGTTGAAGTCAGGAACACTCCATACCACTTACATGTGGTGGCGCCACGAGCACTATATGGCTTGCTAACGAAAGAGCTGGGGAAAAGGCGAAAGGGAAAAAGGAATGACGATAAAGCCCGCCAACTTCTCTCCTAGTACTAGTTCGTTCGGGGTACTACGGACAGTCCGAACACAGGCTTTATGGTACTCCGTACAGAGCAGCATATAGCTGGTGGTAGGAGAGATAAAAGGATGTGCTGCCAAAGGGCGTCACGTTGTCTAATTAATTTTTCAGACTAAAAAAGCTTCAAACCATCATGTTGCTCCGCTCAATCTCCGAAAACAAAAAGCACTTTCTGGACGGGGAATATTAAACGCCAGCCAACCTAAATTTGCTCATGCCTGGTTCACCTTCTTTTCCC